TCCTCTGCCTGGGTACTGCCATTTGCCTCACTAGCAGGAATTCTGGTGTTCCCCATTTAAAAACTGAAAAATCCCAGGTAAAAAAAATTCCAAAGTCACTCTGTAAAATACGTCAACAAAAGACTACTCTCTCTCCCTCTCTCTCTCTCTCTCTCTCTCTCTCTATATATATATATATACACACACATACACACACACATATTAGGGTTGTGCAAAATTTCGCCAACTGTTTTGTTTCGACACTGTTTCAACTCATTTTAAGTTTGAAACAGTGAAATTGAAACAAAATAAAGAGCTTCAAAACAGCCTTGAAACAAAATGAGTTTGAGGCAGACTGGCTGAGTTCCCCTCCCCAGCTCTAGGATTGGGCTGGGGAGAACTGAGCCCAATTGCTCAGTTCCCCTCCCCAGCACTGCGATCAATTGGGCTGGGGAAAGCAACTCAGCCCAGCTGAGCCGAGTTCCCCTCCCCAATGCTATAATCGGGATGGGGAAGGCAACTCATCCTGATCTTAGCACTGGGGAGGGGAACTCATCTCAGCTGGGCTGAGTTGTCTTCCCCAACCCGATCATAGTGCTGGGGAGGGGAACTCAGCTCAGTTGGACTGAGTTGCCTTCCCCAGCCTGATTGATCACAGCGCTGGGGAGGTGAACTGAGAAATCAGGCTCTGTTCCCTTCCCCAGTCCAATGGATCACAGTGCTGGGGAGGGGAACTGAGTGATCGGGCTCAGTTCTGTTCTCCTGCCTGATCTATCACAGCACTGGGGAGGGGAACTCAGAGATGGGGCTCAGTTCCCTTCATCAGCTCAATCGGGCTGGGGAAGGGAGCTGAGCCTGATTGCACAGCCCCCACAGCCCTCTCAGGGTAGTGGCCCCCAATCTACCTGCCAGACGACAGAAGCTGGGTGCTGCTGCCTGGGGCCAGTAGTGTGCTGGCATCAGCCCAGGCAGCAGCACCTGGGTTCCCTCCCTTATCTGGCAGGCAGATCAGAGGTCTGCAACCCCAGGACAACATGGGCCGACAATGCGAGGTCATGGTTGGCAGGGCTAACCGGACCTTGTCGTGCATCCACAGGTGCATCTCGAGTAGAGCCAAGGAGGTGATCCTCTCCCTCTACGCGACGCTGGTCAGGCCACAGCTGGAGTATTGTGTCCAGTTCTGTGCGCCCCATTTCAAGAGGGATGTGGACAATATGGAGAGGGTCCAGAGGAGGGCCACCCGCATGATCCAGGGACAACAGGGCAGACCCTACAGTGAGAGACTGCGGGACCTGAACCTATTCAGCCTCCACAAGAGAAGGCTGAGGGGGGACCTGGTGACTGTCTATAGACTCACTAGGGGGGACCAGAAGGGTTTGGGGGAGACGCTGTTTCCCCTAGCGCCCGCTGGCATAACAAGGAGTAATGGGCACAAGTTGATGGAGAGGAGGTATAGATTGGACATCCGCAAAAACTACTTCACGGTTAGGGCGGCTAGGAGCTGGAACCAACTTCCAATGGAAGTGGTGCTGGCCCCTACCCTGGGGGTCTTTAAGAAGAGGCTGGATGCCTACCTGGCTGGACTCATTTGAGTCCCGTTTCTCTTTTAGGGGTTTTTTGTTGTTCTCCCGCCCTGGCGGGGGGTCGGGTTAGAAGATTTACTAGGTCCCTTCCGACCCTTAATCTATGAATCTATGAAACTGGTACAGCCTCCGCAGCCCTCCCGAGGTTGCAGTCCCCAATCTGCCTGCTGGATGAGAGAGGCTGTTTCGAGCTTCTCCATTATAGCCTATGGGCGAAACTCAAAACAGTGTCAACATTTTGACAAAATGAAACAGAACAGAGGTTTTGAATTGAAATGAAATGCTGTTCCATTGAAATGCAAGTCAAAACGGAATGGTGCCATTTTGCACAGCCTTAATCTATCTATCTATCGACACACACACACACACACACACACACCAGTTAGGCAATGTTTTATTGGCATATCTAAAATGTTAAAGCAGTTTGGAACCCTACCAGTGTCTCTATCATCATAATAAAATTAATTCTAAATACCTATATGTTTTGCTGTTTGCCTTTGATTTTCTTACCAAAGAGCAGTTAGAGCTCCCTCTGACCCCTTCACTCACCAGGATGTGAGGACAGCTGCCCCTGCAGCCACAGCTCCTGCCAGCAGGTCTCATTCTGTCTAGTAGCTGGGCATGTAGGGTATGTGCTGTGGGGAAGTGGGGTTTGCAGGAGAGGGGTGGGAAGGGGGGGAGGAGGGAATGTGGGTGGCTGTGGAGGCAATGGGGGGCTTTGGGGTATGTGGGTGAATCATGGGTGGATTGTTGGGGGGTGCTCAGGAGGGGTGTGTTCTCTTCTCCCTGCAGGGCACAGCCCCCCCCCTCACAG